ATGCATCGGTACATCTGACACCGGGAAGCTAGTGCAAAGAAGTAGATGATCGATTTCATAATCGCATCATCCGACTAGAAATGATCAATAATGGATTTTCGCGTTAAGACAGGCGCAGAGTTATCAACCGATCACTACCTTGTTGTTGGCATGCTGAGCTGTAAGAAATGGAGTACCATGCAATGATCTGATGCGGAAGCGAAAGCTGATTTTTGGGAGAAGTTCGACGAGGTGTTGGAGTCGAATTTCCACACGGCAAACAAGGTATTCAGGCAGACCATTCGCCGGGTCCGAGATGAAAATAAAGGAAGTCTAAGAGCTTTGAAGGACAGATCTGGACACCCTCTTACCAAGGATGATGACCTTTTTCAGCAATGGAGCGAGTACTTTAAGGAACTCCTTTACCGCGCGCAACCGCAAGACGACTCGCCTGTAGAGCAGAAGGGTACGGATATTACTATCTCTGTAGATGAAATTACACATGCTCTGAAGCTTGAAAAATGGAAAGTTTGCTGGAACTAATGAAATCAGCCCTGAAATGCTCAAAGCATCAGGCGGACAAGGCTGCAAGGCTTGTGCCTTCTTACACGTGTCTTTCAAACTGCAATGACTGCGGGAAAGACACCAGGTGACTGGAGGACGGAAGCTGTTATACCCCTATTCAAGAAGAGAGACTACATGGAGTGCTCCAATTATCGGGGTATTACGTTATTCAGCCTTCCAGGTAAAGTCTACGCAAAGGTGCTGGAAAGGAGGTGCCGTGAAATAGTTTACCTCAAGATCCAAGAAGAGCAATGCGGCTTCCGAACCGGTCGAAGCAGCTCTGACCATATATTCTCCCCGCGCCAGATTGTTGAGAAATTGTGAGAGTACGCCCGTTCGGTGTACACCTGTTTTGTTGACCTAGAAAATGCCTATTACCGGATCCCACGCAACAGTCTGTGGTCATGCCTAGGAATATATGGGATCGACAGCCAGCTGCGACACTCAATTCCAATAGGAAGTGCCCCGTCAGAGTAAATGGCGTTAAGTCGAAGTCTTTCAACGTTGGCACTGGTCTCTGGCAAAGCTGCCCCCCGTCCCTTATTTTGTTTGTGCTGCACATGGATAGAATGGGCAGGAGCTGCCAAGACGATGAGTGCATCAGTGTATCAGCGTAAGAGATGTGAAGACTTGAAAGTTGCTGCTTGGAGACGACCTTGTTTTATTACCATCTTCTGAAACTGATCTTCAGTGCTCCTTAGAAAGGTTCGCAGCCGAGTGCGACTTGACCGGCATGCGTGTGAACGCATCTAAATCGAAAAGCCTAGTGCTTTCTCGTTCTCCTGGCCGTTGCTCTTTTCAGATTAACGGAGAGGCAGTGGAGCAGGTGGAGAAGTT